CGCTAAAGTTTCGTCGGAACGAAGTTACGAAAAACAACTAACGAACGGAGACGTAACAATAATCTTGTGGTTCAGGTCTATTATTTACTATTGATTAACTGAAATAGTCATGAATTTCACTTCTCCATACCTAGTTTAAAACGTAACTTTAATCAGATTTATTTATATACAGTTTTTTATATTTTTGTGCACGTAATATGACATTCTTATTTACAAAATATCAACAGGTCGTAAGCTGATCCTTTTACTTGGGCAAAGATTACATATGCCAATGGCTAGAAACTCGTATTAATATGGCACTGTGACAGACTCCCCTGGGGAGGGGCAAAATTCTGTAACATTTTTGCTTTAGTTTTGGCTATTGCCGAATATTTGGAAGGCCCAATAGTTACAGGTTTTTCCAATATAAGTCATAACTGAATGAATAAACAAAATACAAACAACGGAAATATTGGAATTGACACTGTAGTGTATAACTCATTGCACTGGCTCGGTATGAGGATAATTTTACTGACTGGAAGCTTTCAACATGTTTAATGAGTCGGGGTTTTAATGTTTTTTGTCACAGCACTATGGAATAAGAATTTTTAACGTCCATTCTCCAGAAGAGCTAGATTCCCCAATTTAATCCTGATGTGTAAATATGTAGGATCTGCAGCTAACAGTATACATGCATACAAGAAAATAACATCAGGAAAATGATGATAAACATTATCCATCCATTCATGAGAAATTGCAACCTTATAGGTCATATCGTGGGGTGTTTTTTAAATAAAATTTCACAAATTTAACCAAACAATCATTCTAACTGTTAAAACAAAAAACTTGTATATTTGGACTCTCAGGCCTTCAGTGTAATGGGCCCTCAGACTAACAGACCCTCACCCGAGTTTCAGCACTAAATTAGAGTTAGATTTGATTTTTATTTGATGTGGACATTTAATAGAAAACCTTCCTTCACAAGAAGCCAGGTAAAGTCACAGCAGAATTAGGAAGCTGACCAATAGATGAAACAACAATACATATTGAATTTGTCTGTAAATAAAGATTTAGTTTATGTGTTCACTAATATGTGTGTTTTTATTTCTTTACAATCCAAGTTTGTTAAATTCTCTGCATAACATTTCTAGAACCTGTATTTTGCAGACACTTTTAAACTTCTGTTGGACGTCATTACAACTGTATGCCACTCCGTAAAGCTTCACTGCAGTGGAAACAGAATGCACTTACTCATAAATATTTGGTTAATAGTGATGGGCAACATATACGGAATCCAATAATTCTTAAATAAGAAATTTTCATTCATATACCACAATTAGATGTATTATATTAAATTCAAACAACATTACATAAGTTGTATATTGTTATAAAACTCACTGTCTTAATCACTGGTTGATGAAGTTACACTGGAAAATTTGTTGAAAGTCTCTTCATTTTATTGTAGGAGATGAAATCTTAATGATTAACGGCCAGCCATTACAAGGCATGTCGCATGCTGAAGCTATTGTTACTTTTAAACAAATTAAACAAGGTGAAGTTCTTCTTCAAGTTGGCAGAAGAACTGCTTCCCAAAAAGGGTAAGAGTTAACTCTCTCTCTTTCTAACTAAACTAGTTTCTACTGTTGTTTTAAAATGACTTATTTATTAAATACGTAATAACTGTGAATTTATTCTAGCTGTCATGTTATCTAGTCAGAGTGGTAGATTTTATTCTAGCTGTCATGTTATCCAGTCAGAGTGGTATACTATATTCTAGCTGTCATGTTATCTAGTCAGAGTGGTACACTATATTCTAGCTGTCATTTTGTCTAGTCAGAGTGGTAGACTATATTCTAGCTGTCATGTTGTCTAGTCAGAGTGGTAGATTTTATTCTAGCTGTCATGTTGTCTAGTCAGAGTGGTAGATTTTATTCTAGCTGTCATGTTGTCTAGTCAGAGTGGTATATGTTATTCTAGCTGTCATGTTGTCTAGTCAGAGTGGTAGACTATATTCTAGCTGTCATGTTGTCTAGTCAGAGTGGTATATGTTATTCTAGCTGTCATGTTATCTAGTCAGAGTGGTAGACTATATTCTAGCTGTCATGTTATCTAGTCAGAGTGGTAGACTATATTCTAGCTGTCATATTATCTAGTCAGAGTGGTAGACTATATTCTAGCTGTCATGTTATGTAGTCAGAGTGGTAGACTATATTCTAGCTGTCATGTTATGTAGTCAGAGTGGTAGACTATATTCTAGCTGTCATGTTATGTAGTCAGAGTGGTAGACTATATTCTAGCTGTCATGTTATCTAGTCAGAGTGGTAGACTATATTCTAGCTGTCATGTTATCTAGTCAGAGTGGTAGACTATATTCTAGCTGTCATATTATCTAGTCAGAGTGGTAGACTATATTCTAGCTGTCATGTTATCTAGTCAGAGTGGTAGGCTATTTTCTAGGTGTCATGTTATTTAGTCAGAGTGGTAGACTATACATTCTAGCTGTCATATTATCTAGTCAGAGTGGTAGACTATATTCCAGTAGTCATGTTATCTAGTCAGAGTGGTAGACTATATTCTAGCTGTCATGTTATCTAGTCAGAGTGGTAGGGTATATTCTACTTGTCATGTTATTTAGTCAGAGAGGTAGATTTTATTCTAGCTGTCATGTTATCTAATCAGAGAGGTAGATTTTATTCTAGCTGTAATGTTATCTAATCAGAGAGGTAGATTTTATTCTAGCTGTCATGTTATCTAGTCAGAGTAGTATTTTATTCTAGCTGTCATGTTATCTAGTCAGAGTAGTAAATTTTATTCTAGCTGTCATGTTATCTAGTCAGAGTGGTAGATTATATTCTAGCTGTCATGTTATCTAGTCAGAGTGGTAAATTTTATTCTAGCTGTCATGTTATCTAGTCAGAGAAGTAAATTTTATTCTAGTTGTCATGTTATCTAGTCAGAGTAGTAAATTTTATTCTAGCCATTGTATTATCTAGTCAGACTAGTATATTTTATTCTAGAAGTTGTCAGATAACTGTGTGTGTATATATATCTTTATTTAAACAGAGAGATCACTTGCTGTATTTGTAAATCTTGAAAAATACCTAGTTGTTTTCCTTTAAGTAGAAAATTGATATATTTATATTTTGAATAAATTAAACAGGATTATAAAATCAGTGGCAATTTTAACAATTACTGATTTTTTTCTTATAATACTTTTTGGTTAAAGTTTACAGTTTTTTCATAAGTATCTTAATTTTTGCAGTTTTCATGAATCAAAATCATGCAGCAATCTTGAGAGCCTTCCCTAATTTAAGCTCAGTTGTGCAACAATCAGGACTACCTCTCCTCAACCAAACAGCATAGTTCAACAATCAGAACAGCCTTTCCTATCCCAAATCCAGTTATACAACAGTTTGGACAATCTGTTCTAACCTATATTCAGTATTGTGAGTACTTGTTCTGTTGTTCCTAACCCAAATAAAGTGATGTAAAACTATTAGGATCTGTGTTATCCTAAAGAGTAATGCAACAATCTGGAAAACCTTTTATTTTCCAAGTTCAGTAAACAAGAATCTGGACAGTGTTTCCAAACCCAAACCAAGTTATGCAATGATCTAGACAGCCTTTTATAACATGAACCTAATGATGCAACAATCTAGAAATCTTTTTCTAATCCAAGTATAGACGTGCAATAAACTAGAAAGATTTTACCAACTCAATCCATGTGTTGCATTAATCAAGACAGCCTTCTGTAATTATACCTCTCTCGGTTAGCAAATTGCAAAACTTTCCTAAACCTAAATGCAAGTCAGCACAGAACTTTTTTTGTATAATGTCAAACAACCATAAATTTTAACAATCTTTCTTACCAAACTAAATCAACCAACAACTTGGAAAGATTTTTCTAACCAAAGGCCATGTAAGCACTAATAGGTTCTCAAAACTCAACCCCCATTCAAGCAGCAGTTGGGAAGTGTATCGGACTAAAATACGAGACTTTAACTACAAGGCAGAGTTGATGAGGTCCATTTCTAAAGTGATAATTTGTAAGTGTTGAGTGAATAATTTGTGTTTAAAACGAGACTTTTCTTTATGAACATTTGAAAGTTATGATTTTATGAAGTACAAAATTCAATTTACAAGGAATGTTTACCTATATATGTAGTGTTTGTTGTAAAAATGAGCTACTAACCAAAATAGAAATGGTTTATTGTTGTGTATAAATTAACTTCTGAAGCCATCATTTGATGAATCATCTTGAAAAAATTTCTGTGAAATATGTGGTTCTATTAAATGAATTGGATTAATTTTTTATTGTGAAGTTTTTCTAATTATGCAAATAGGTTGTGAATAGGAGAGTGTAAAAAAATCTACACTTTTTTACTGTGAATAAAATAATTTCTCATAGTTTTTATTTGCTGAATTCACAAATTACTTTTTCTGATAAACGATTTATAGACACAAGAATATCATAGGATATAATCTATATGAACTTGATATAAGCAGTCCTGTGTTACTTAATCAACTTTCTAATACATGTTCACAAATGTAAAGATGACATGCTTAAGTTTTTTATATCCACTGTAATCCCCAGATTTTATTGAGAAAATTAGTTGTTATTATAATTGAAAGAAATTATATTTCTATAATATGATAATAAATAAACTTTAAAATCCCAAGATGTTTTGTATATAAAATGTGTGATAAATAAAAAAATAAATATATCTGATACAAGACAAATCATTTAACATGGATATAGTGTAAATTTTTAATTTAGTCTGCTGTATTATTTTTATTATTGTTAAAATTGAAAAGTAATTGAGAATAATGTATGCATATAAAAAGAATATCTTGACTCAAGTTTTAAATTTGAATATATATTTTCCAGGTATAAACAAATTTCAAAGTAATCCAAACAGAATTAGGAACTTAATTTTTGTCTTTTTTTTTCAATTACTTGTAAATCGTATAATAAATGTGGCAATCAACCATTTGGTATAAAAATTTAAATTTGTTTTAAAACGCCTATTCTTTTTTCTTTACAAGATAAAATTTAGTAATGAGTATTTTATGATAAAATTACTGTGTATTTCTTATCCAAAACTTTAACATCAATAACTTGTTTTCTTGAATATAAAGCAATTGTCAGGCTAACCTGTTTGAAGAATTAAAGAGCAGTGTTAAATACATGAGAACTACCATTGATTATGAAACTTATGACCAAAGCTGTTTTGCATATACCAGTTATAACAAAAAAAAAGATAGAGACTTGGATTTTATGCTATACTTGTCTTGACTCGCAGTTTCAAAAGCTTCTTTCAGTTTTATAGTTGGATTGAAATAACTTACAAAGAATATAGTACACTGTGTTTTTTTTTAAGTTTATATAGTGTGTGTTTTTGGAGTTTTTACATCAGGTTCATTACAAAATCTTTTAAATATCTTTGCTATAGTTCTAAATTTTTTTATTTTTTGTATCAACACCCACAAAAAGTCTGTCAAGCAATTTTTACTTTTGTTATTTTTATTAATCTGCTCAGTTTTTACCTTATCTTGCACATGTTTTGCAGAAGTGTTTTGATTTTATTGAAATAATTTACAGTTAGTTTCAGTAAATCATAATTGTAAAATTGTTTTATAGATAGTGTAGTTATTGTACAGTGTTATAAGTCAAGCTTTATTAGATTTGATTTGTAGTTTTAATGGGAAATAGTGGTACCTTTATACAAAACTGAAAAATACTTGAAATGGATTTTGGTTTGTTATTTTTGTTTTGTATCACTGATTTGATTGTGATATAATGATATTGATACAATAAAAGTACTTCTGCAGTTTTTATTTTTCATGTGAACTTCTAACAAACCCAGTCTTAACTCAGTAAAAGGTTATGGTGGAACATTGTGACCTGCATTGTCCACTACTGAACAGTTTGCAATTCACAGTTGGAATATGAATATCTAAGTCCATTAGTGGTTCAGCAATAAGTTTATATTTGATTCTCCAAGGTGAACAGAGCACAGATAGCTTGTTGTGTAGTTTGTGCTGAAACAAATAAACAAACCAGCAAATGCCAAACATTCCACCTAGAGAATAGCACTTCACAGTTTAAATAATTCTCAAGATATATATGTGAAATAAGTCTGAAAATCTCTTTGTTTTTCTGGTTTTGTTTTTGTTTTTACCAGCGTAATAAGTATTACAAGTTCACTTTTAAAGTAGCAATAAGACACTGTAATTGCTGACTTGTTATATTTACACAATTACAACAAGAGAAGAATAGAATAATGTTCCAAGAGATGCCACTATCAATTCTTTGTCCAAAAAAAGGAAATTGACCTTCAAGGCTTGTATGTGACAGTGGAGAGATGAAATGGCCTGATGAGTTGATGACCAAAAAATATTATTAGCAATAGCTAGTTGATAAAAAGAAGGCAGAGATGAATTTGCAGGGTTCTCAGTACTCGTAATGACATTATCTTGAAAAGAAAAAGCTGCCTATAACCTTTTACATTTTTCCAATTGTACTGTAACAGATTGTATTAACGTTATATGATGTTTACCTGTTTACTCTGACATTTTAAAATGTCTTTTATATATCTACAGTCCCTTAGTAAAATTGACCTTTAGAATAGGCACTGTTGCGTCAGCGAG